CATTCAATTTCAATTTTTTCCAATTCATTTTCACCGGTAGATTAAACCGCTCTTATCTATGGAATTTTAGGGTAATTATGAGAACTTCAAGTTAATGAACGGAAGGGCTGGTACAGAATAGTGCATCGGTCCCGGAGAAAAAGTGGAAATCTGCACAATTCGCAAAATATGAAGCGTCCTAAAGCAATCAACTTTGGAAGTTGTGCGAGACAAAAGATGGGTTCGGACGAGCTTACGGTTAAGTGCGGCTGCTTAGAAAGATGGATGCAGGGTCCCTACTACTGAAAATTGCTTTTCACTATTGCCATTGATAAGGGGCATGGATGATCAGTCGCTTGAATTTTCAACAATCGCCCTCTAATGCGAATAGTGCAACCTGTACAAGGCCGCTAAAACACGGCCGCTTCTGGGTGTGACCGGCACTTCAACCCTTTTTGCACCCTAATTGAACCCGGTGATGCTCCATGTGGGAAAGTATATTTGTGGGCAAAGGATAGCTCCTAGTAGGAGAGAAGGAGATCTCAGAAACCATTTCCGTCATAGATTGGTCCTTTTAAGAACGTACAGTATCAAATTTAACGACGTTACACCCTTGACATTTGGTCATCAGAAAATATGAAAGGCCTCTGTGATCCTACTATATATAACGCGCTAAGTGTGTCTGTTGGTTTGTCTGTGTGTGTGTGTAGTTGTGTGTTTGACCGGAAATTCATAACTCCGGTTCCCGTCGACTTAGAGTGTTCAAATTTGGTAGGAGTACAGGCGGCAACATAGGAACACTAATGGTGGGTGGCGGGGCCAGACTCCGCCTACAGGGGGCGGGGTTTGTGCGGAAAATCATAACTGCAGTCTCCGTGAACCTAGAGCGTCCAAATTTGGTAGGAATACCCAAAATAGGATGGGAACGCTTATAATGGGTGGCACAATTGAGCTCCGCCCGCAATGAGCGGGGTTTGGGCAGAAATTCATAACTCCTGCCCCTGTGGACCTAGAAAGTTCAAATTTGGCCCGAGCACAGGAGGCAGGATGGGAGCACTTATGGTGGGCGGCAGGACCGGACTCCGCCCACGAGGGCGGAGTTTGTGTGAAAAACTTAAACTTGCATCTAGAGCGTAAAATTTGGTAGGAGTACAGGCGGCAGGATGGGAACACTTATGTTGAGTGGCAGGTTCGAACTCTGCCCACACTGGACGGGTTTGGGCGAAAATTCATAACCCCTGACCCCGTGGACCTAGAGCTTTAAAATTTGGTAGGAGTACAGGCGGCGGGATGGGAACACTTATGGTGAGCGGACTCTGCCCACAATGGGTGGGGTTCGAGCGGAAAATCATAACTCCTTCAGGGACGGGGCTTGCAGAGAAATGTCAAATTGGACCTACAGCGACCAAACTTGGTAGGAATACAGGAGGCAGGATAGGAATACTGATGATAGATTGCAAGACTAAACTCCGCATCAAAAGGCTCGGCGTGTACAAATACTGTTAGTTCGGACCAAGGCCGTTGAAACTTGAAGGCACAAGGAGTTGGCTGGGAGCATTTATGGTAGCTAACATAGTAGACTCAGTCGCGATGAAGTCTCTGAATACTTTTTTCTCTGAATAAACGTCTTTGTGATATTATGCGATGTTCTATTCGGACACAGCGAAGATGGCTTACAGAAAAAATCGCTCCTAGTTAGGAGCTAATACTGAGGGTGTAGATCTTTCAAAGAAAAAGGAGAATCCGAAGTATTATTTACGCATAGCAAATTTCTCACAGGAAGAAGGAGCGCCCGGCGAAGCCGGGTGACACCATAAGAAGGAGGGAAGCCCGGCGTTAGCCGGCCGGCCCGACTGGTACCACAAAACGGAGAGATCCTTTTTGTGTTTATACGGTTATATTACATGAACGCTTTTAAAATGTCAACTTCCAGATAGAAAAGCGTCTGACGATAGTGGGATATCATCGTGTGATTCGGAAAAGGGAGCAACACCAGTATACCAACATTCCCCGACAGAACCTTTTCATTATGTAGGAATTTCTTCATTTAGATTGTTTTCAATTCACTTTTTTTCATACTGTTGTCATACTTGTTTTTTTTTAGATCCAAGAATACCAGTATTCCCAGTACTTATGCGATGGCCATGACTGGATTCCGGAGGAATCAGGCAAGTCCCCTCGAGTTTACCTAGACATAACTTGGACAAACATTTCCTTTATTCAGATGCTGTTGCCGATTCCTCCAACATTTATTCCGATAGCGTCATGGAATGCTCCGATATTTATCCCGACAGCGTCGCTACCCTCTCTACTGCTCAATATAGCAGAAACACGAGGACATTTAATGAGAGCGCTTTGGAGGAAAAGGATAGTGAGCTAGAAGAACAGTTCGTCACTGAACAGGATTCAAGTTGCTGTCAAGCTGAACCCGTTGAGATGGAGGAAGAAACTGCTACATTCCATCTAAAAGAAGATTTCCATGAAGTAAATGTGAGGTCGTTCGAAACTAGTTGGAGCCTCTCTTCCCCCTCAGATGTCCATCCTGTGGAATCGATCACTGCAACTAGCCCCGTCGTGTACAGCAAGAAACTCGAGATGGCCCTTCGTAAAGATCGAGGTGGCCTCCTGGAAGTTACGCAACGTGTCAGTGGGAAGTATGGGAGATTTGAGGAGCCGAAGTGAGTTGTCACTTGAAGTTTGCTCTAGCATCTCTTTATTGATACGATAATTGCCTTGGTCGTACTCGCAAAAGCTTCAGAAGTATATCCCGTTCATCCTCCTCTCTCGGACTGAATCATCCTGACGCTAATCCTCAAACCGTCGCTAGTGACTTCGACTCTGTAAAAAAATTCCTCTCCCCGCCCTTTTACCCTGACTTTGGGATTGCTCCTATCTGACGCTATAGTTTTTTGTGCGTTTAAAAGCACAGTTCACGGTTATTCTTAAGTGAGAAAAGGAAGTTGCGGTGCGGAATAGCGCGAAAATCAGTGGATTTTGGGAAATAAAAGTTTTCAAAAGAGTAGCGAGCAATAGGGTTGTACGAGACTATATGTCTGTAACCGTCTTGATGTCTCCCACATAGGCGTACTATTCGTCGGCGTTCCAACGCTTCATTGTGAATGGTGCAGCCTTAGCAAGACCACCGTAACACGGCGTTTTTGGGTGTGCATTTCCGCCAAGCCAGTTTTGGAGCCTGTAAGGTCATTTTTTGATCGATTGGTGTCGCATATGCTATCCTTGGGGCCAACTTCGTTTTAGAGGCAATCTTAAAAACCATTTTCATCATTGACTACGCCTTTAGAACTTCTGGGGTCTTGGAGGTGCTTGTGCTCATTCGCACTACACTATACGTGAGAGAAGCGCTATTCGAGTAAACAGCTACTCAAATTCCCTTTCATCCCGTCTTTCAATGAAATTGCGTACTATTCAATTGACCCTGGGGATGTAGAAGCTTTCATTTGGCTAGTACGGAGTCCAATCAACCCAATACGACGTGGTTCCTCGGCCCTTCGCTCATTACATTAGCATTGTAGCTGCGTGTGCCCATGCAAATTCAAACATAAACTTTTACTCAGGGGTTTGAATTGATCGATAAAGTCATATTGTATTATTGCTTTGCATATTTCAGATACGGCCCTTTGCTTCTAACGACCTCAGTGTCTGTAGCTTCTTTGAAGGACATTATGGAATCCAGTCTCACAAGCCTGACCTCATTCCTGCGTTCTGGCAGAATAATACCCAAAGAAACAGAAGAGAAAGAAGAGAACGCTGAACCGGAAAGTCCAAGTGGCACTACCACAAAGAAGGATGAAGAAAGTCCCGTGTACAAACAAAGTATGGCTGTCCCCACACTACTTTCCCCTAAAAAGAAGAGCAGAAGAAAAGTGAAGGTCAAGAGGAAAAGCCATCGGAGTGGTGAATCAAGCAGGCCTGCATCTTTGTCAGATGACAAGCCAGAAGAGTCTGTGAAGATCAGAGATGGAGAACAACGGAAAAGAACAGTGTCAGTTGTGTCCACAACTTCTGATTCTTCTAAACAGTCTATAAAGATTGTAATTCGGAGAGATATCCCCTGCAAAGTCGTCAAAACTCCATCGGTTGCATGTGAAAAGAAGGCAACATCGCTCAGGAGGTAAGTTTTTTGATATCAATGCATCCGTTTCATGCCTCCAGTGCCGATTTTAGGTCGGCGGAGAGCAGTAGTGCATTTGTGAAGGACTGTGATGAGCGGAGTTCAGTTCCAAGGTAAACAGCTGACCTATTTATACTCCTTATGCATCTGTGTCAGTACTTGCTCACTGTTATTGTACAAAAGCCCCGGCTTCAACTGTATGTGGACAAGAAGGGCCATTGCATCCTTTGTGTAGAACTGGGTCATCCCGCGTTGCGCCACGTCGGCGGTTCTGACAAGGTCCCAGCCAGAACTATTATTCATCAATGATAAGCAAATAAAAGAGTTTCTGAGGGGCCCGCTAATTCATGTGTACCATGAATGGTTGGCCATTTATTTAGTGCTGGTTTATTTACAGTTAGTCGGGACGCCAATGAATTGTAGTGTAGGGATAGCCATAAAATTACCGGCTAGCGAATTCCTGGCGCCACCACAGTGTAATCATTTCTTGTTGGGTGCGTATTCGATATTCTTCTTGGTCACTGCCAGGGAAGGGAATCACAGAGTAGATGAATATGCTAATGAGAAGCCCTTGCATCAGTCATCGCACCATCGGCGAGGGGTGAATACAAGCTCAAAAGGCCAAATTATTTGGGGTCTTCGATCGTGTTCGAAAAATACTCATGTAGACAAAGGTCTCGGTACTATCATGATTGTTCTAAAACAAACAATTATTCCGTGCTGAGAATACTGGCTCACAAACTCAGATTTTTTCAGTCCATCGAAGAAGCCACGTCTTCCCGTTCGTGTGAAACTTGCCCCTCCTAGAGCACGTTCGATAAGTTGTGAGTATATAGAACATTTCACATTTCCTCTTACAATTTTATATGCATTTTTTCTGTAATCCTAAATTTTCTCTTATTCTCACGATAAATAATGTTGAATTGGCAAGTGGCGCAATATCACGCATGCATGGTCATGGTTCGATTCCCGGATCGATGTCCGCCTAGGCCATAAAACCTTCCATTTTCCGGCGTCAGTTTATTGGTACCGGATCCGTCTTGGAGGAAAGAAGCACTGACTTGTACATCGGCTAGCCACCGCAAGTCATGACATAGACCGCATATTCATTCAGCACGCTATTGATATTCTGAATTCATTCAGCCTCGAATTGGGAAGAATGCCCGCTCGGACTACGTGGCATCCCTGCCCACATGTGCCCAACTCGGCAACCTAACCAGTAGAGACCAGAAATGGTTTGTATACACCCACAGCAGTAGGCATCAGTGGCGATTAGACGTGGCTAGAGCTTCCTACGTGGACTCCCATATTAATGGTACAGCTTCTACAATGCCATTGAACTCGTCTGCATGGAACAATCGTTGGAGTACACGAGATGACCATAAATTCATCCTAGCGGGATAACTCATGAGTCCCTTCCATCGTAACTGTGTCTTTAACAGGACCGAGTTCAAGTAGTCCGTAGACCGCCTTGGTGTATGGTGTGGGTCCCGGTGCAAATGATGCAACCTCCATAGCGTTTAAGGCTCAACAACTCGCCCGCCTTGAGTGTGTGCGTCGGCTAAGCCGATTTTAAGGGCCCGCATAATGCCCTATCTCGACTGTTTCGCGACCCGATAACGTCTATTAGGCTATCCTTGAAGGTCACGGGTTCATTTCGGGGAGAAATCTCAGAAGCCATTTTTAGTGTGATCGTGCGTTTAAATCAAAAAATTTTCAATCGCTCGGCGCCTACAAGTTAGCAGATAAATGGTTGTCATGACTCTTCGGCATGATTACGAGGAAACACGCGAACACCTTCACTATTCAATCAATACCTCCGCCGGGGGTGCTGCAGTAGGATCGAAGCTGTCGCGTCGTGGTGAGAGGGACGCCGCGCGCGAAAGAATGTAGCAGAATGCGGCAGCAGGTTAGAAAGACAGGGATAAAGGGCTTACAGTAGGATCATGCCTGAGATAATGATGGCATATCGATTAAGCTGTATGAAGAACGCTAGAGTTCTAATAACGGGGAAGCGGATGATCCGCGACAGCCGCGCACGGTGAATCGATTACACAAAACCGATCCTACTGCCCGTCTCCCCTTCCGAAGAAGTCGCAAAAATGCGGTAACTTGGAAGAACAGAATGCTGGAGTACATCTTTTTTTGTTGCGGGAATAAAAAGTTAAGCATATTTATCAATATCTCAAGAGTAACCAATGGTAGAGAACCATTTAAAGTATGCTATTTGAATATCCAAAGTTTTCAGCTCCACCGACATTGACGAAGGCTCCGCAGGATAGAACGAAATCGACTTCTGCCACGTAAGCACTATAACTTTCTGTTCTTCAACGTCTTATTCTTATTGTTAGACCTTAACGGTTCCCTCGGAAATCTGTTTCATCCATTCCTCTGTATGATTTCCTATCCAGCTACAGACAATCGCTGATAACACATTTATCGTTTGTCGTTCTAACTGTAGAACTATTTGCCCACGTCCAATAGCCCAGATGCATAGAGCGCGATTGTCAGGCAATAGATACATATTGATGGGAGAAGGGCAGTAGGATCGGTTTGTATTATCGATTGGCTGCATATATTATCGATCGGCTGTCGCGGACCATGCGCTTCGCCGTTATTACAACTCTAGCGTTCTTCATGCAGCTCAATCGATGTGCGATCAATATTTTAGACATGATTCCATGGTTCATTTGTTTCTGTATTTCTAACCGGCTGTTTCATTACTCGTCTCTCTCGCCGCAACGCGACAATTTCGATCCTACTGCACCCCACCCCATATTGATTAGCAATTCGTAAGAAACAATTTGAAAAGGTTGTAAGCAAAATGACCCTTCTAAAATTTCATGGCATTTTAATCACAAAACAAGCGACAAATATCAACATATCAACTCTATGCATTTTATAATGATTCACAATTGTAGACAAACTTCAACTCCGCTCATCGAAAGATCCAAATCGCGAGCAGAGGAAGGTTCTGATGATAAGATTCGCACGGATTCAAGGTGACTCGATCTCATAAATACAGTGTGCTGCATTGTAATAGAAAAAAAAATTAAGTTTTTTGTTCAGGATACCGACGAGTGCTGCACCTGTTAGTCCCATCCCAACGACCTCCTTGTTAAGGACATCAGCGGTGAAAAAATTCCACTACTGGAATAAACCTACATTTGAAGAAGATGCATTAGCTGCAAAGTTGAGTAAATTGATGGGCTTTGAAGTCAGCACTTCTAGTCCGTTGTGGTTCCACGAATTGCAAAAGAAGGTTATTTTGTCTACTTTTACTGTATTTTTGGATACTTTTACTTTGGTCGTTTTCTTGTCAAAAATTCACGACAAATCTTCTGACTTTTATTTCGAAAATCTTTGATTAGCCTGAGCTTTACGTTGTTGTAAGTAGAAGCACCTGCATATGTATAGTGCATATACTGCTCTATATTCTCTCACTACCTCCTTTCTTTCATTTTCACATTAATGGCGTAATATGACATTACTGGTTGTCCTCCCATGGGTGCGGTAACTTTTCCCCGAATTCTCACGGCAAGCGGCAAAGGTAACGCGGCAGCTACCCTATCCTTGCACTGGGAATTCGTACCTTTCCCTTAATAGCGCGCCACCGCGCACGATCGGGTGCGACGAACGCTACGCCGTTTTCGGGCAGAGGAAACCGGGCCCACTTACATAATCTTTTAGGCACATTAACCTAGTTCATGAACGGTCTTTTTCCTTTTCCAGTTTCATACTATTTCCTTTTTATTATGTTTCACCTGTTTCCTCCAACTAATGCCTTCCCTGATATTCCATTTTTTTTGCATCGTCAGACGATGCTACTACCCGTACCGTTTGGTCCTCGATTGGTCCCTGATAACACATAATCGAGGACTTATCGTTGAGCTTTGGCACTTTTCTTTTTGATAATGAGCTAAGTTCTGGTGTTGATCAAACTCTGTTTTGGGATGGACCGAGCACCCATTCATACTATTGCAAGCGGAAAGGCTTGTGCCAGAGCGCCCAAATGTTGGCTCGTGTACTAATCGGGACTTTTATCCACATAGGGATGGATTTGATACCCGGATAGCATGAATCAAAGCGTCCTTAAGCAATGCACCATTTCCACTTGAATTTTTTTAATGATTTTGTTAGTTTTCAAACAATGCGAAAATTTCAGGCAAGCGAGTACATTCGTATGTTGGATGCAGAGAACAACAATGTCCGTGAATTGATGCGTGATCTGGACTATTTCCGTAAGAACAGAGAAAACGAGCTTTCTCGATACAAACGATTGCTCGCAGAAAGTGAAGATTTGGCGGCCATTTCAAGAAGAAATCGAAGGTAAGAATGGTGGTGGAATTGATGATTTCTAGATGAACCAAAAAGAACGAAGCAGAAAATTCCGTGAAAGTTGACAAGGGGTTCTGGTAATGAGCGGCACACGTCTTTGTTTTGTTTTTATGTTTAAAAAATAAGACTTCAAAATGAAAATTGGAGCTTGATCTAAGATTTATTTATGCAGTGAGAATGACTTCCATTTCCAGCACAACAAACGCTCCATCTGCTCCAGATCTCAGGTTACCGTGCACCTTCACCAGAGTGACGAATGAAAGTGAGGGCAAGTCTGAGCTTGTTCTTTTTTGTTATACAAAAATATGTGTAAAAAGCAGATTACTTGTTTATGGTAGGAGTACCAGCAGCTTTAGTGAATTTGGGTATGTGTGGAAATTGTAGATGGTACTTCTGTGTACTCGCAATGTGTCAAGGTTTAGAGACGAGTTGAGGCTCTCTTTTTCGGTGGTAGTAATACACTTAGTCCTTATCAAATAGGATTTTGAACTTCAAACCTAAGGGCACAGTTCCCGATGAAAATGTTTCTGTGTCTTTCCCCCTAGGATAAACCTGTGGCTCCTAATGATAGCACATGGGACATCGTCGGGTGGAAACAAATACCTTGGCAGGGTTTTATGGAGGCTCCAAAACCTGTTTGGCTGACAGACACACCCAAAAGTGACCGTATTATTACGGCATAGTTAACGCTGCGCCGTTCATAATTAAGCGTTGGGACGCAGATGAATAGCACGCTTATGTGGGAGGTGCCTAGACGACTACAGCCACATGTTTTTGTACCACCTCCTTCCTGACTAATTTTTTGATGATTACCCTTTTCAGGGTTACCAGCCTTCGACGATCGCGTGCATCAGCGTTCATGCTCCTTCCAGACAAGTCATGAAGACATTGCGACTTGTGATATGGTCTCCCCCAGAGCACCAGAAATAGGTAAGTTATTGCGTTCGTGAGGAATTCATCTACTCATTCCTCTGGTCTTTACGCTTGCTTCATTATATTGGTATGAAGAGCTCTGTCATACTAGATGTCACAACTCGGATGACTACAGCGACTCGCCTTTCGCCGTGCATTTCCCCACCTATGAAATCTCGTAAATCTTTGGAAAGGATCGTGGAGAGGTTGAAATCACCTCATGGTATGACGATTTTTACTATTCAAAGGCATTGTCTACAGGAAAAATTGTGGCAACATCCACTTCCTTTTTGTCTTTCCTAACATATTTGAAGACACAATTCAAGATGAATTAGTTTCTGAGATCTTCCCATAGGATGAATCTATGGCTCTGAGTCGGGTCGCAATAAACGGTCTAGATAGATCGCGGTAAGGATAAAAATTGGCCATACTATACGCCTTATCTGGAAGTGGCAGTATCTTAAGGGTCTTTGTAGGGGGGGGGGGGGGGGAACTGCACTATTATTTTGGCATTTTTTTACTTCCTGTAGCGAAGTTATTAATTATCGGGAACTGTCCCTTTGAATTTTTTTCAGAGTGACTTGAAAGCTACTTTGTTGACAGTCTTCAGCGGTCCAGTTCCTTATGACTTCGATAAGGCCATTTAGTTAAAAGCAACCAACTTCCTGGCAGCGCTGCTAGGAATTTACCATAACTTTCCTCCTTTCCTACTAAATGAGGTTTTGGCCACGCCCACATGTATTATGAATTGTCTAGGAAAAGTTTCGAGTAATGTTTTTTGATAATTGGAACCTCTCACGTATTCCCTTGTGAGCCCAGGCCCTATGGCACATGTGAGAGCTTTTCAAAAGATGAATTTCTGTAGATGACAGCTATGAGCCTTATGGTTTACTTTCTATTTTATCAGTCTTGGACCACTTCAGAAGATATTCCTCGTGATCCTGCTCCGTCTTCCGTCGAACCAGTAAAGCCACCATATGTTGAGTATACAAGGCCGGTCTTACAGTTTCATAGAGGAATTCCTTCGCCTGCTCATGTGATCCATTGTCGGAACCCTCCAGGTATCAAATATCAATCATTTTATTTTAGTGTTACTTTATAAGTTGATCAATCGCTCTGAGTTCTTAAAAGATGTGCAGCTAGCCACTTGGAGCCATTTCGAGCGACCCTTTCCAAAGCTCTAAAGCAATTCTGAACAGAATCGTGACTTTTTTGTCTCCAGCTGCGTTCACATTCTACCTTCAATAAACTTTTAACTTCTAGTTCTTATTTTCTGCGGATTCAAGTATATTTTGGGGTGGGGAAGCTAAGTAGCTTACTTCACTTGTGTTCTTTCGATCTTCCCCATTTCCAAATCTAGAATGGGGGTAAGAGGTAGTGTAGTGGCAAGTGGCGCATATCTCACATGCACGATTCCGCATTCCGCGGACGGGGTTGATAAGCGCAGAAGGCTTTATCATTTATGGCGTTTCTGAATGAGTGAAGAAAAGAAATCTTTTTCAACTTCACTTCAATCAATTTTTCATATCCATTTAGACGTTACGGTTGTATGCGGATCTTTGGTGTTTATGGAGAATTCCCCATGTTTTTGGTGTAATTTTTTGTATCTCACTTTTCCTTTTTTAATGAACTTACATTTCAGGAGCTCGAGGTTTCTGGAATCCAGTCATCGCCAACAAGAGTGGTGTACGCTACGAGCGCACATGCGGAGTAGAAGCAGCCAGAAATAGCGGTACTGTTTGACTTATGCGTGGTCAACCACAGCAATTGAGAGACTTTTATAGCGCAGAATAAAGGGTAAAAAATCATTCGGGCGATCGGGGGAGAAGGCCCCGTACCCGATTTCCTTGTATGGGCAGTAGTAACATCCCTGCGCGAGCCAGAATGATCCAATGGATCTTTCTCGCTCGACGGACACGAGGCATAGCCCCCCTCCCCCCTTCGTTAAGAAGTCTGACTACCGTGCTAGCGGCCGTCCTGGTGTTCCTTAAAAGTCCCGATGGATCTAGCCAATAAGTCCTAGTCCAGCGGTCATGACATTATCGCCTAAAGTGGCTGGCCCAGCAGTAATGGAAGGCACCACCTCCGCCCTGGTGTAGTCAAGAGACGCACTATCTCTTAACAGTGGTCACGGGATGGAATCCCTGGTCGTTATACGCTCAGGTCATCCGAGCTTTCCATCCCTATGGGATCGGTTAACAGTACCAGACTCGTCTGGGAGAATAAAAACACTGGTTTGTACATCGGCTGGCCACCGCAAATTATTGTGTAGGCCACATACGCTCTCATTGCCCGTTTCCAAATGAAAGTCAAATGCCGTGCGCCTCCCTCTGAAGGGATTGATTAACGACAAAAGACTATGTTTATCCCTTATTTGACTATAATTGTGCAATTTAGTTGTAATTGATTAGTTTTATTAGTTTTTTAGTAGTAATTAATCAATTGTAATTTAGTTGCTGCTGGTTTTCCTTCATGAAACGTGACGTGGCGAACTATAGACGGGATCGAATTTCATCTCAAAGGAGTTGTGTTCAGCAGCTCATCATGCTTTTACCGCTTTCACTTTTAAGGACACCATTTTTTTTCCAGCAGTTACTCATATCCTTAATCCACTATTGAGCAATAAGCTCCGTCTGATACGTATATTTACCCTTGAGTCATTAGAATTGCTTTACTCTCATCGAGATTCTCTGAGTCACATATTGTTTTTGTTCCTTTTTCAATTTTTTAAAAAAAATTCAAGTTGTTGATGTTAATGTTGAAGTATGATATCAATTATGTTGAAGAACTTAGCGTGGTGCATCCATGAGAATATCATAGATATTGACTGATCTACAAGTAATGAATAGTGAGTGCTACTTTTACCCAGTGGTAGATACGGTTTTCTGTAAATATTGTTTTTATCTGTGAAATCTGAAAGTGAAGTCAAGATTTTGCTTATTTACTTTGTTGTTTTTCTTGTTGCAATGAATGGTTCCTGTACGTTGATCACATCAGTACCTCCTTGGTAGCTCTGGAGCAACCTTCTGATGTCGAGCTTTCAGCTTAATTGAGAGGGTAGGGTTGGCGCAGCTCTTAAGGTGTTTTTCTGCAGGTTCAGCGACGAAGGAGAATAATCAGTATGTCACAAGAGAGATTTTAATAGGAATTTGGAAAGGACATCAACAGATGAAGAAATTTTCTGTAAGTACTCATAATTTTGCTACATTAGTTGTATATTTTATTTACGACGTAAGAACGATCATATTGCACCGAGTACATCAATCCTCGACTTATTGTTAGAAGATTAGTAGAAGAGGATTTACTGGGAGAGAAAAAACCTTTAGTAACAAATACTGTGTCGGTACTAGCTGGAATCACTCGACAAGTTTCATGTGATGTGGCATGAGTCCTTTGAAATATTTGACTGTTTTCACCTGAAAAGTATAATTGAGAAAAGTAGCAAAAAGGAGGTAGTCCGCGATAAAAATGGTATTCGAGGATTGGAATCTTGGCCACCAAGGGTGCCACATGAAGCGCTGTCGAGTCGACTACGGCTCCAGTTAGGCCGCAACAAGGGCTGAGGTTTAACCGCTGTCAGCGACCACGCCCAAAAGCGGCCGTGTTGTAACGGCTTGTATGGGCTGCACCATTCTCATTAGAGCACATATGTCAAGCGGTTAATTGCCATGGGCCATCACTCATTTCAACGGTGGAAAACGATTCATGGCAGCAAAAATACTCAACTCTACCCAAATGCACACAACTGGAACCTCGTCCAGACCATTCTCAATTTCTCGTCCTAATCTCGTACAAACCCCGACTTCGAGCAGCTAAAAAGCCTACTATTACGCGAATTGTGCAGACCTTCTCGCTTCGGTAGTCACGTTGCTCTATTATTATCCACACTTCCGTTCTCAGACTTCGAAAGAGTATCTCAAAACTTTCGTAAACTATGCCTTTGAACAACTGTTATGCGGATCAGGCATGAGTTGGGTAGTGGTGGAAAGGTGGGTGGTTGATTTCGCTTGCTGAACCTTGGCTGTCAAGAACATTCATTTTATCACTTTCTCAGGACAGAAATCGTCGGGAGCGAAAGGTTTGGTTGGTTTGAGCGTTAAGCAATTTGGGCTCTGGTTTCTGGATTCAAATGCACAGTGGCGGCCTCCCTTATTCACCTGAACATTTTAATAACCTACTTTGAGTTCCAATGTAGCGTCCTCGTCAACGATGAACATAGCTTTCGGATGCATTTGAATGGCGCTGACCGTCCACATGTGGCTAATACCGCCCTCTATAGCATGGTGAAGAGCTAGAGCTTTATGGGAACCGGTGACCAGAACCATCACCTGAAAGAAAACATTCAAATGAATGAAACTTTGGTGGAACAATAGGTCTTTGGGAAGGAAGATAAAGGACGATTCTGGGAGATAACAAGCTTCAGAGTTATTGTGCCGGACTACGAACGAGGCTCGCGCTCTATGTTTAATCCTAGGGGGAAAAAGTATAGAAACTCGTTCTGAGGTAGGGAATACATAGAAGAGAGGAAGGGAAAGAACATCTAGTGAAGTGTTCAAATCCCTCGACATTGACCATAAACCAGTCTAACACTCGTAATACTCATGTTACCTTTAGTTAGCACTTAGCTCAGACCATGAAAACTGCTTCTCATTCGTTGTTTCCTGTTTTCAGAACGAGTTCGATACAAACCAGACTGAAGTGAGAAGGGACGTCTCTCTTTACTGCTTCGCTTTCGCCGAGCT